TTTTTTTTTTTTTTTTTTTGTCCTTTTTGAGACCGGCCGCACCGCACTCAGCCAGTGAGCGTACCGGCCATCCCTATATAGGATCCGAACCCGCCGCGGGAACGTCGCTGCACTCCCAGCGCTGCACTCTCCCAAGTGCGCCACGGGCTCAGCCCAACTACTTCAGAATTTTAATGTCTACTGGGCTTCAATTATCAAGATACAAAAAATAAAGTTACCATTTTTAATTCCCATATCATCTAATAAAAATGAATAACCCTTTGAAGAAAATCAAAAATATAAAGTCTACTTTACCAAAGAGAATTGCCTTCTAAGTTTCTACTCATTAAATAAAAGATAAAATTTAACAAATACTGTTCAATACAGTGAAACAGCACCATTTTTTCAATAATAGAAAATAAAGGCCTACCTTTTTAATCTCCTTATAGAGTTCTAACTGTAATCTCGGAAGACTAGAATCCATCAAAGCCTACGACAAAATAGAAGAGATCTGTTTATGGAAGACACATTTCATTAGCAGTTCTAAAGAAGCTAAAAGGCAACTAAGATTTCAATTTTTAGGCAAAGTAAAATACAATAGCAACTTAATTAAGAACTTATTCATTAAGAGAGAAAAAAATAATGCAGGAAGTTACTGAATATAGGTATAGGTCTTTCACTTAAATTTAAAAAATGAAAGGAAAAAGAATTTAACTTTCATTATTATCAAATACCACATAATATCAAAATTAAAATGGCAGATGATTCAAATTAATGTTAAAGCTCTTAGAATAAACCTTGGTCTTCACCAGCTGTACATTCTGTTGGATGACGCACGCTCGGGCAATGCCCGGGAAAGTCTGTAGGGCCTGGGGTCTGTGGGTGCACCTGTAAGGTCAGAGCCCCTCACACTGGCCAGAAAGGCCTCTTGCCGCATCCTTTCTGCCAGCTCCTCCCACATCGCGGGCACGGATGCTCCCAGCCCCACGGCCCCAGTGGCCCAGAACCACTGCCAGCTGGAGCCTTGTGATCCTCACAGCACCCTTTCTTCCCCCACTGCTCACTCGCAAGCCAGGCCAAAATAATGCTCAACCCAGTAACATGGCTAATGGCACAAAGTGTGCATTATAGAAGGGCTTCTCAGGTGGAAGAAAGGGACGATTTTGGTGCCTTCCTCTCGCCCAGGGGAACCTCCTCTTCTAAAATGGTATTGCAGATGCTTGCCCACCAGGAAGAAAAGGAAATGTAATCATGCCGCAGTCAAAAGGTCTCCTGCTTTCATTGTGACGTGAGCACGTTATGCCTGCTGACCAAGCTGGTCTTACTAAAACTCATGTGGGTACACCTAATGGGTCAGCGAGCTTGAAAATCAAAACCAGAGTCACCTTTGGGGAGATTCTGAAGTATAATAATGTCTCAGAAGTTTTTAAATCCTGATTCTGTTGCTGCAGTTTGTACTGAAAGTCCTTAAAGGAGCAAACCAAACCGGACAAACATATTAAAACATTGCTTTTCAATTTAAAAAAAAAAAGCCATATCAAAGTTGGATGTAACTTCATAAATGTTTTGTAAACTAATATCAAACTAATTTTCCAACAAGAGAGAACTAAAACTCAGCCCCACTTAAGAGCAGGGAACCAGCTCCCACAGTCGGCAGGTCCCCAGGTGATGGGGGCACACCATCCGCCTCCTCCCCCTCCTGCACCCGCTCCCACACAGACACACGTTCAGCTGTGAAATGCAGCCCCACCGCCCACCACTGCCTCCTCTCTCACGGTCCCGTTACCATCCTAGCTCAAGACCCCTCTCTACCTTACTGGGCAGCTCAGGCTCCCACCGGGATTCTCTCTACCTTGGGTCTTTCTCCACTCCAAGTCACCTACAAGTCCTCACCAGGTCACTCTTCCTAAATAAAGCACTCCCTGACCATGTCAAAAATCTTCAAGAGCTCCTCATTCTCTTCCAAATAAAGTACAAATCTCTTGAACTGACCCTCAAGGTGCTCCATTCCCCAGCAGCAGACGACGGGTCCACCCTTCCCTCTGAACCTCCACGGGTTCCGGTGCCCTCTCGAGGCAGGATGCTGCCGTGGTTAAGAAGGTCTCCAACCTACTCTCTCACCTACTGGCTACCGCCTCCAGGAAGTCATCCCTGCCTCCCCAGATAGAAATCACCTCAGCCTCCTGAATGCCATGATGATCTGCCAGCACCTCGCAGAGCTCAGACTTCATACCACATACCTGGTTGTTCCTGTGAAAGCATGATTCACCCCTGAGACTGTACCTCACCTGAGGGAGCAGCAAGCTGCCAGGCTAGATCAGATCCCCAGTGCATTTTTCTATGTAAATGATGAGATAAGCAAAATGTGTCCCATTCTCGAGTCCTCATCATACACATATTGCAATACTCATGAGAAGACAAAAGTCCAGGACCTGACTGGTAGGTGACCATTCCTATGTCCTTACCCATCCCTTCCACCTGGCCTGGGACCCCCGACATTCTGCCCTCCCTCTGCCATGGTGAGGGCAAATCTAGTCAGATCCCAACCCCACTCCCAGCCTGCTGAACCTGACGCAGAAATCCAAGAGCAGCCAAACTTCACTGCACCCAGCTTCAAGCAGAAGGGATAGACTGCGGGGGACTGACTTCATCTTATGTTCAGGGGCTTGACCTGAGAAGCCAGGCTCTCTGAACCCAGAGAATGGAGACACAGCACAGGAGAGGAATTGGGAAAGTAGGAGGGAGAGAGCCAGGAAGAAAGCCCAGGACCTAAAGCTACAACCAAGAACCCACAGACTACAGCCCCCAAACACACATCAAGCCACTGTATCCAGCAGTTGTGGAAAACAGGCCTTTGAAGAAGACAGGCTAAAGATGGAACGATATCTACATGTAAAATGGCCAACGTAAGAGCAGTTTTGGGTCATACCGTTCTCTCTGCCCTTAATACCCACATGCCATGGACAAAGGTAAACTATAGTAGCCCTCTTTTTAGGTTTTCTGACTGAAAGTCAAAGATCAGGAATTGATATATCAGAAAAAAACCAGGCTGGCCCTGCCAGTAGGAATAATAAAAGTAAGCAAGGATATACAAGCCTGAAGAGGAGCAAGCTCAATGGGAAACAGGCCATGTGCAAACATTTTTTGGGGGGGCGCCATCCACACCAATGTCACCACTGGCCACCCAGCACAGAGACAAGGAGAAACTGACACTGGCCATGACCTCATCATGGGAGATGAGATGCAGGCATGAGCACGAAGGGCAGGTGAGGCAGAAAACAAAGTGACCGCTCCAGAGATGAAAGAGCACCTCCCACCGCTGCTCCCGACAGAGGCAGCTAGACTCCTGTGGCAACAGAAAGTGAGCATCCTGACCACGGAAAGAAGAAAACTGGAAAGCTCCAATAAACAAAGATCCCATAGAAAGGGGAACAGATACACGTCATCCTTAACCATTACAGAAATAGCCTTTGTAGGAAGTGTCAAAAACTATGTCAGAGAACCTTCCTCAGCACTGGTCAGCCTGCAGTAGGAACAATATTTAACTGCAGACAGCCAATTCAAAAGGCCCATTCACATACTCAAGGGTAGTCGAGAAGAAGGTGACCAGGATGAGTTAGGGACTCACACTAGAAGAAGGACAGAATTATAAAAACAAGGAGAGTTTTTGTAATTTTTTAGTATATAATTTTATAATTTTTATAATTTTATAATTCTTTGCCATACACTAAGAACTCGTACATGAAGGACTTTAATCTTCCACGACAGCAGAAAACAGAAAAAGGAACAGTAGACCAAAGCTATGGTGACGGTGACCTTGGTGCAAACTCTGCACTGGGAGCAACAACAGAGCAGGACAGGTATCCCTTCTCTCCCCACCCCCCATCCCCACCTGTCCCTCAACCCAAGTGGCTGTGACTTTCTCACTTTCTTATCCTTTTCTGGGACCTCCTTTCTCTCATTCATGTCACACTAACACCAGCTAACCTGCCAATTCTAGAAGTCACATCTTTACCTGCAAGCAGATCCACCTGGCCCAGGTCGTGGGAGGGGCAGGAAGAGGAGACGCAGGAAGGGAAGCTAGAGACACCAAAGCCAGACTTCTGCTTTCTCAGGTCTTCGAGGCTTCTCTGGGCTATGCCAGCTGTGCCAAACAAAAGTTGGTGCCCACGGTAGCATTTTCCCAAGATCACCTAGTGGGTGGCCACCATCAGTGCACTTCACTATGCGCTGTGTAGGCACGAAGGTAAATGCAGCTCTTCCTGATCCAGCAGGAGTAGCAAGCATGCCGGCATATCCCAGAGCACCTCCAGACCACACACAGAAACAAAAAAGGTGCAGACATACTAAGGGACTCTGCTACTTGGAACAGAAGAATGCTGAATGACAGCTCCTTCTCTTAGACTAGGATGAGGACAGCGCTGAGGAGAGCACCGTCTACACGGCTCTTACTTTTATAACTTTGTTGAGGCATTCATCAGCCACCATCCTGACATCTGACTCTGCATCATCACTGCACAGCAGAAACAGTTCCATAGCGATGCCCAGAAGTTTCTGAAATTCTGGAGAATTTCTAAGTAAAAAGAGAAAAGAAACTGTCACAGCCAAGAGAAGCCTCAGGAGACATGACGATGAGGGGCGATGAGGTATCCGGTATCCTGGATGGGATTCTGGAACAGAAAAAGGACATTATATAAAGATTTTTAAAATTCGAATAAAGTATGGACATTAGTTAGCAGTGATTAATTGTGAAAAATGTAGCACACTAATATAAGATGCTAATAATTGGGGCAACTGGGTGTGGGGTGCATGGGACCTCCCCATACTATCTTTGCAATTTTTCTATAAATCTAAAAATATTCTAAAATACGGTTTATTAACAAAAAAAAAAAAAAGAGAGAGAAATTGTACTTGCAAGACAAATCTCATTTCTCCCTTCTGTTTTAGTTATAAAAACCTGAAAAAGACACTACTTCAGATACTTAAATTCCAGATAGCCATCTGCTCTCTGCCAGAAGGTCTCTTTTACTTACTATATTATTCTTGGAACCTTGAAAATCAGTATAACAATTTTATCTTGCCTTCAATTTGTTCCACAGTACAACCTTATTTCACTATAGACTCCATGTGATCAAGATCAGGCCGTGTTTCTGCTGTGCTAGATAGACTATCCCAGTGTCACAAAAATTGGAGTCCGTGTGCTATTTGTAAACTATTTAAAGATGGTTGAGAGAGCCTTTTTCAAGCTGTCATGATCCAACTGGCTAAACACAGCCAAGAGACAAGCTGATGGGTCATGTACATGAAACTGACTTCACAGCATTCTGAAGTCCCACAAACCAGTAATACAAAAGATGTTCTTGAAATAATCCCAAGAATAGCAAATCCCAGTAACATGGAGCATGTGCTGTTCTTGAAACAACAAAATCAGATTGTTGTTTCACGATCTCAATCTATTCTGAAACAAAGCCCCTGCTTCCCCTTATCTCTTATCTAATAATTCCTACCAGTAATCAGAAGACAGCATAAGCCTAAGAGAAAGCAAAGGACCACATCGGTGATGATCAACAAACATATAAAAGAAAGAAACCAAACACACCACTTAGCAATGTTTCAGACCTTATCTATGTGGAACACAGTGTGACTACAGAACTGAGGGGAGGGCTCTGGACACAGAGTAGCACGCACTGTGTCTCACAGCAGTGCAGCCAACAGAAAGAGAGCAAAGCTGCATCTGCAGTTTTACACTTCCTAGAAGAAACAGCAAAATCAAAAACAGGCCAAGATTAATTTTAATATTTAACCTGAGACATCCAGAATATTATTTCAATATGTAATCAATATGAAGAAATTACTGAGATATATAATCATCCTTTTTACAGCACATCTCAATTCAGACACTACATTTTCATCAGAAAAACTTTACCTGTATTTAAACTTCATATAAATTCAGTTGAAAAAGTAAGTGCATATACCATTTACTGCCACATTTAAAAGTTCTCTAGTAACTAAATCAAATATCGATTTTTAAATTTAAATTTAATAAAATAGATATAGAGCTAATCAGGTTATCTATTTCTTCTTGAGAGAACTTTAGTAGTTTGTCTTTCAAGGAACTTACCCAATCCATCTAAGTTGCCAAACTTACTGGCATAAAGTCGTTCGTGATGCTCCCATATAACCTTTTTAATATCTATAGAATGCACATCGATGTCACCTCCCTCATCCCTGATTCTGGTCATTTGGACCTGCACTCTTTTTTTCCTATCAGTCTTATCGATTTATTGATGTCCTCAAAGAATAAGCTTTTGGTCTTATTATCTTTCTATATGCTTTTCTGTTTTCTATTTTACTGACTTCTGCTCTTATCTTTATTATGTCCAATCTTCTGATAACTTTGTACTCCATTTGCTGTCTTTTTCAAGTTTTCTAGGGTGGAAGCTGAGGTCATTGATTTGAAACCTTTCCTCTTTAAAATAGGCATTTAATGCTATAAATTTCCCTTAAAATGCTATGGCAGCATCCTGCAAGTTTAAAAATGATTGTTTTTATTTTCAATCAATTCAAAATGCTTTCAAATTTCCCTTTTGATTTCTTTAACCCATAGGCCATGTGGAAATGTGTTGTTTTTCACACATTTGGGGCTTTTCTGGATTACGTTTCTGTAATAGATTCCAATTTAATGATACTGAGGTCAGAGAACGTACTTGGCATAATTTGAATCCTCTTGAGACTTGTTTTGTGGCCTGGCATCTGGGCTATCTTGGCAGATGTTCTATATGAGCACTGGAGAAGAGTGTGCCTCCTGTGGGTGTTGAATGGAGTGTTCTGTAAATGCTGATCAGGTCACACTGGTGGATAGTGGAGTTCAAATCTCCAAGATCCAGACTTTATGCCTACATGTTCTATGAATTACTGAGAGAGGCTATTGGAATCTCTGATTACAACCGTGGATTTGTCTCTGTTTCTACCTCAGTGCTGTCATGTTTTGCTTCACGTATTTTTGAAGCCCTGCAGTCAGGTGCATAAACACCTAGGATTGTTATGCCCACCTGATGAACGGGCTCCCTTCATCATTATGAAATGACCACCTTATCCCTGTCCATGGCCTCTGCTTTGAAATCCGCCGCATCTGACAGTAACATAACCACTCCAGCTTTCACCCGACTCTTGGCATGGTGGACTTCTTTCCCTCCTTTTACTTTTAACCTATTTGTGCCATTATTTTAAACATGTGTTCCTTGTAGGCAGCATATACTAGGTCTTCCTTTTCCAATCTGAAAAATCTCTGCCTTTTATATGTAATGTCATTATTGCTATAACTAGATATAAATCTACCATCAGACTATTTCTTTCCATTCTAGCCCATCTTTATTTGTCTTTTTACCAATTCTGGTTTCTTCTGGATTGACTACTTTTATAATCCCATTTTATCTCCTTTTTGGTTTATTAGCTACAACTCTGTTATGCTTTTTGTTGTTGCTTTATTTTTTGTACTGTATATCTTAATCATACTCTACCTTAGTGACATTATACCATTTTACATATAGCATAACTCACTAACTACAGTATTATATTAGTTTCTGTGGCTGCTATAACAAATTACCACAAACTGTGTGGCTTAAAGCAACAGAAATTTACTCTTTCACAGTTCTGGAGTCCAGAGTTCAAAATTAGTATCACCGAGCCAAAATCAAGGTATTGGCAGCAGCATGTTCCCTCCAAAGACTTGAGGGGAAAATCGTTCCTCACACTGCTCGGCCTACAATCACTACCATCTTCAAGGCCAGCATCTTCAAATCTCTGTTCTACCTTCACATGGCTTCCTCTATATGTGTGTGTAAAATCCCCCTGTGCCTTTTTATAAGAATACATGTGATTGCATTTAGGGCCCACCCAGATAATCCAGGATAATCTCTCCATCTCAAGATAAGATACTTAATCACACTAGCAAAGACCCCTTTCCTTATGAGGTACCATTTACAGGTTCCAAGGATTAGGGCCTGTATTAGTCCATTTCTGTTGCTTATAACAAAATACATGGAACTGGGTGATTTATAAGAAAACAAAATTCATTTGCTTACAGTTTCTGAAGCTGGGAAGTCCAAAGTCCATTTGGTGGTGGTGACAGTGACCCAGGGGTCTCACATTACAAGACAGTGGAAGCAGAGAGAGCCGGAAGAGAGCAGAGACAGACTCTCTTCTTTTAAAGCCCTCAGAAATACGCCCCTGACCACCATTTTTCATCCATTCACTACTGCAGGGTCCTACAATCCAATCACCTCTTCAAGGCTCCACCTTTTGATTACCATAATAGGATTTCCCACCTTGTTAACAGTCACAGTGGGGGTTAAGTTTCTAATACATAAAGCTTGGGGGACATGATTCAAGCTTCAGTGAGTTTTGGGGGGACATAATTCAATCCACTACAGGGCCTGGTCCCCTTGCTGGGGTGGCAGCATTATCCTACCTGCCACAAGCATACTCCACTTCTGCTCTTCTGGCCTTCAATGCTATTGTTCTCACACAGTCTACTTCTACATGTGATAAACCCCAACATATATTACTTCTGATGTGAACAATCTAATTAGTCTCTGTTAAAATAATTTAAAAGTAGAAGGGGTATCTTATATTTACCACTATAGTCACCGTTTCTAGTGTTCTTCAATCCTTTGTGTAGATCCAGACTTCCATCTGGTATTGTTTTCCTTCTGCCTGAAACACTTTCTTTAAAATTTCTCATAGTGGTCAGCTGCTGGACATAAATTATTTCTGAATTTGTATGTCTAAAAAAGTCTTTATGGGCCGGCCCGGTGGCGCACTGCTACAGTGCACCGCTTGGGAGTGCGACGGCGCTCCCACCGAGGGTTCGGATCCCACATACAGACCGGCCGCTCACTGGCTGAGCGAGGTGTGGGCGCAGCACCGAGGGTTGCGATCCCGTGGCCGGTCCCAGTCCGGTACGGGCGCGACACTGAGGGTTGCAATCTGTTGCCGGTCACGAAAAAAGACAAAAAGGAAAAAAAAAAGTCTTTATTTCACCATTTTAAAAAATAAAATTTTTTACTGGGTTATTTTTCCTCTTGGTACCTTACAGGAGATGCTCCACTGACTTCTGGCAGATGACGTTTCCAAGAGAAGTCTGCTGTCATTCTTACTTTAGTTTAAGGTGGGTCTTTTTTATGTCTTGTCTCCACTGCACAGGGTCAGTCTTTTCTCTAGCTTCTGAACACATGAAATGCAATTATAGCAATTGTTTTAATATTGCTGTGTGCTACTTTTATCACCTGTGTAATTTCTGGTCAACTTCGATTGACTGATTTTTCTCATCATGAATCATATTTTCCTGCTTCTTTGCAATTCCTAGCAATTTTTGACTGGATGCCAGACTGTGACTTTTACCTTGCTGAATGTTATGTACTTTTGTATTCCTGTAAATGTTCTTGAGCTTTGCTTTGGGATGTAATTAAGTTACTTTGAAAGACTCTGACCATACTGGATTATGGTTTTAAGCTTTATTAGGCAGGATCAGAGTAACAACTTAGTCTAG